GGATGATCAGGTTGGCAGGGGGAGGACAGAGGCGATCAGGCAGTCAGGCAGGTGAGCAATTAGGAGTCAGCAGTCCAGGATTGGGAGAGGGATGTTCCAGATTGGAAAGGGTGCAGGCTGGGCTGAAGGGACCCCATCCTATGCACAAATTTCATGCACAGCGCCTCTAGTAATATAATAATAAAAGTATAATATAAGTTGACCAAACGACCTACAGCAGAACAACCATCTGGACGACCTTCTGGTACACACACACACTGGCGCCAGGCCAGCCAAGGCAGGTGCAATGCAATTGGTCAGGGGGCCCTGCCATCGCTCCATGATTGCCCCACAGAGGGAGACCCAGGCCAATGTTGGCAGGGCGATCGATCAGGGGGTGGGGGTGGGGGCTCCGTGATCACCCCAAAGAGGGAGGCCCAGGCCACCCTCTGCACAGTGATCAGTCACAGCCGAGTGGGTGTGGCCTCCCTCTGCTGGGTGATCAATTGCGGAGCCCCACAGAGGGAGGCCCAGCCCACTGGCCAGCAACGCAGTGGTGGTGTGCAGGCTGGTCAGCGATCGCTCCGCAGAGGGGGCCCAGGCCAGCCAAGCAATCACACCACACACTGTTGCCCTCAGAGAGGCAACGGGTGGGGCAGTGCCGCACAGATGGCAAGTAGTGGCAGTGGCAGGGCCAGCTCCCAGCAGCCGGGGAAGGAAAGCTCCAATAGGCCCTGATCACCGGCCAGGCCTAGGGACCCTTCCGAAGGGGTCCTGAATGTGAGAGGACGCAGGCCGGGATGAGGGAATCCCCTCACCCCATGCATGAATTTCGTGCACCGGTCCTCTAGTCATTTTCATAACAGCTAATATTATTGAGTACCTCTTTCTATGCCTTACCTCATTTAACCCTCATAATAGCCTTATGGGTTAAATACTCTACCCCCATCTTACAGATGAGCAGTCCTAGGCTCAGAGATTAAATAATTTACCCAAAGTCCCATGGGTAGAAAGTAGCAGAGCTTGGATTTGAACTTGGGCAGTAAGTTCTTTCTTTTTCTTTTTTAACATAAACATTGTGGGAGTTTAAGATGTACAATGTATTGTAATTGATTACCACTAAAATGTTAGCTAACACCTCTAACCATGTCACATAATTATCATTTCTTCTTTGTGCCGAGAACAATTAAGATCTAGTCTCCTAGCAACTTCAAAGTTATTGTTGGCTATAATCACTATGCTGTGCGTTAGATCTCCAGGATTTATTTAATTACTAGCTGAAAGCTTCCATGTAGTGCATGCTGCCTCCAATCTTCCCAGGAATACTTGATATATTTAGTACACTGGGCTCTAAGGACACGACAATAGGGTGGTAAAGACATGGGAGGAGAGGGATAAAGGAGGGGGAAATGGGAGACATCTGTAAAACTATCAAGAATTAAAAAAAAAAAAAAAAAAAAAAGTACTCTGGGCTGTTAGGAATAACTCAGAGAACTTAAAAAGGTGTTTCATTTGCCCTGGCCAGGTGATTCGTTAACTCAGTTAATTGGAGCTTTGTCCCCTGCACCAAAAGTTTACGGGATTGATTCTGGGTTAGGGCACAAACCCAAGTTGCAAGTTCAGTACCTGGTCGGGGCATATAAAGGCATATCGATAAAGGCATACTCTCGGGTAAGGATTAAAAAAAAAATTAAAAAATAAAACATTCCCTAGCTGGTTTGGCTCAGTGGATAGAGTATTGGCCTGCGGACTTAAGGGTCCCGAGTTCAATTCTGGTCAAGGGCACATGACTGGATTGCAAGCTTGATCCCCAGTAGGGGGTGTGCAGTGCAGGAAGCAGCAGATCAATGATTCTCTCTCATCATTGATGTTTCTCTCTCTCTCCCACTCCCTTCCTCTCTGAAACATGTGACATGGTAGAGGAGTTAGCTAAATATAATAAAGAGAAGTTTAATTCTATCAAGTTACAATAAGACCCAGCAATTCTACGCCTACATATACTTAACACATTGTGGACGGATCACAGAATTCTTGTGTTTTCTGTTCTAAGGCTTGTGGCCAATCATATTTTAAAAAGATATTAGCTTGTAAAAACATGTAATAAATAACTTCAAAATGCAATTGGTATTTAATTTTAAAGTGTGCCTTTAACATTATGTAAGACATTTTGTACTCAGTCAATAGAAACTAATTTGGCCACTGGGTAAAGCTAGCAATAAAACTACTGGTCCGCAATGTGTTAAAAGAAAAACATGCATCCACACAAAAACCTGCACATGAATTTCATCGCATTATTCATAATAGCCAAAAAGTGGAAATGACCCAAATGTCCATTCACTGATGAATGGATAAGCAAAATGAGATATATCCATACAAGGGAATATTATTTAGCCATAAAAAGGCTGAGCCTTGAAAACATGCTTAATAAACATGCTTAATAAATTTAAAAAGGTATCATATTACATTATTTCATGTATATGAAAAGTCTAGAATAGATAAAGCAAACAGAAAGACTAGTGGTTGCCAGGGGCAGTGGTTTGGGGGTTTGGGGTGTGAGAAGGCGTATGGAGAGTGACTACTAATATATATGGGGTTTATTTTTGGGTGGTAAAAATGTTCTGAAATTAGTGATGATGGTTTATAAAACCATCCATTAATTTTTATGGTATGTGAATTATATCTCAGTAAATCTGTTTTGAAAAAGGATGCTTAGGTAATTCATTGTGAACTTAGGCTACTTTACTAAATAAAATTCCTATTTCTAATCGTGAACGTTGTCAGGTCTTAATCAAAGAAACTGAAAGTAACCTGCCATCACTGAATTTTTCCCTTTCAATTTGCAAAGAGGAGTGAACTAGTTTCACTTCTAGGCATTCATGGACCTTGACCTGTCATTTTACCACCACGGAGAAAGTTTTCCTTCACTCAAACGGAAAGAGTACACATGCAAAAATTCTATTCTTGAGAAAATGCCTTCATATTTTCCGTAAATCAAAGCACTTACTGTCTCAAAGTAGTTTTCTCCCGCAACCAGGGGCTCCTGGGGCTTCCTTGCTAAAACCACAACTAAATAAAATTCCCTTCAACAAGCAAGCACTAGAAACTATTATGAATTGTGGCCACATTTTAATGCCTTAAGATAAACAATGAATATAAATACCTCGGGCTGGGGTAAGGATCTGGAAAACATTCTTTTCAATGTTTACTGGCTCTGGCAATAAAAGTAATAGTGATAACCAGTGTTTACTGAGCAACTATAATGTGTTCAATAAACACGGTCCCTGGCTCTTTGCAAACAGGGTGTTTAATTTAGTCCTTACAGTAACCCTGAGGAAAGTATTTTTAACCTCTTTCCATAGACAAGGAAACTGAGGCCTAGAGAGACTGAGCAAATCATCTGTCCCTCATTGTACAGGTAAGAGTCCAAATAATACCCCAAGTCTTCCTGTACTCAAGTGGTTTCTCCTCTCCCTCTCTAGAGTCCTCTTCAAAATGAAAAAGGAAGCCTGAAACTTGTAGAAACTAAAGAGACACCCCCCTTTCTATCTTACCCAAGTAGTGCTTTGAAAAAGGTGACTACTCCTATAGCCCAAAAAAGGAAATATAGAAAACAGAAGACGGTTAATAACAACTAGCAGTCAATAGGCACAGCATACCATGCCATGTCCCACATGGAACAGTTTCCCATTGATTCTGCTTATAGCCTCAGGATGCCAACATTTCATGATGTCACTATGGGAAACCCCAGTGAACAGTTAGTGAGGCTGCAGAGCTCACTAGATCAGGAAGGAAAAGGAATCAGTTGGCAGGAAGTGGTGTTTATCTAAAAACATAAAAGTCTTTGGCATTAATAATAACGCTGTAATTCCACAGCACTTTAATTTGAAGCTATCTCTGCATTCCTCTGTGTTATTTTAATATTGTATTACTAAAAGCTGATTCCCTCTCTATTCTCCATATGTTTAATAGGATCCTAAATAAAATAAGACTGCTATATAGCCACCACTGACCTTCTTTACTCTTATGCTATATTAAAAAAAAAAAAACAGTTCAAAGGATTATCCCAGAATCAATTAGGAAAGGTAGCATGTGGAGCACATGAATTTCTTCACCAGGTAGACTGTAGCTGGCAGAAATCTTGAATTCACAATTGAAGCATGCGCTTGTCCTTCTACTTCTCAGGACTCTGCCCAACGCAAATTGAAACTGGAAACCAACAGCGGATTGATGGATGTGCAATTGCTAAGCATTTCAACATACACCAAAAGGGGGGTGGGGAGAAAGTAGCTAAACAGCTGAAGAATGAAAAAACTTGGTGCATGAAAACGTTTTTTGCACAACATCACAATGCATGGGGGAAAGGAGTCACATGAGGTTCAACAAATCCTTAGAAAATAAATGACAAAGATATAACCTCGATTCTCAGGTCACCCTGCAATAATTCCTCATGGGAAGGGGCCAACTCAAGATGAAATAAGGTCAAGCTTGAGAGTTTTCCTCACTTCTCTACCTCCCCCACACCCCCCCGCCGGTCCCAAGCTCCCAGCAGAACCTAGGGGAGCCCAGGAAAAATGTCCGTACGTGCGGAATTGGGGGCGGAGGGAAGGGGCCAACCCCTGCAAACAACCACCTGTGCGTGCGGAGACCCCCAAGAGGGAGTTGTGTTTAAAGTAAGCAGCAGCTCTGGGGATGGCCCTCCCAGCCCAGGACGGGCACTGGCTACTCACCCAACTCCAGTCCTTCACGCCGGACCCAGCCACCTCCAGGCTGAGGGCAGCCCCTCCCGCGCCCTCCGCCCCCAGATCCGGCTGCTCCCACTCCCACCCGGCCACCCCCAAAGTCCACCGCCTGCCCCTCCGCCTGACAGCTGCCCGGCCCCCGCCCAGCAGCCCCAGCCCCCCAGCCCCGGATGCCAACACAGCCTCCCGGGGGGCGGGGGCGCCCCAGGCCCGCGGGATTTAGGGCTGGGGATCTGGAAGGGTTGGTCCGACCCCCTCTTCCACTCAGCGTCCTGGGCTCACCTCCCCGGCAGCTTGGCGTTCCTCTTCCAAAACTGCTTGCTATTCTCGGCAGCCATGGCTCGGGCCCAGGGCAGGCCTTCTAGGCGGGCCAGCGGGGTACCCGGCGAGATGCCCCCGGGATCCCGCAATCGGAGGGCCAACCCAGGCCGCTTCCCCACCGCCGGTCAACGGCTCCCAGCGCCTGGGAGCGCCATCTTGGATGTGGGCATCCCTGCATCCAGCGCCGCTGCCATTGGTGGGCTGCCCGGCCGCGGTCGGACGAGCCAATCAGGAGCCAGAACCCTGTCGGCCGCTGAAGCCGAGCCGTGACGTCAGGGGCCGGGCACACAGGTGGCCGGGAAGGCGGCGCCCGGACGGCAGGGAGGCGGGGCGGACAGTTCCTCACCGCTAGAGAGGGGCGGAGGCAGGTAAAGGACCCACGGGGAGGCTGGGGTGCTGCTCTCTTTTGAGGGGAATGAGGTCCTTGCATCTAACATGTTGGGGAAAAGAGAGCACATGTATTATATGCATAAGTCTTGGCCTAAAACTTAACGACACCTCTCGTTATTAGCCTCCGCTTTTCCTTTTCCTCTGAACCCGGGACTTTTTGTTTGTTTGGTTGGTTGGTTGGCTGGCTGGCTGGGGCTTTGCTTTGTTTGTTTGTTTGTTTGTTTGTTTGTTTGTTTGTTTGTTTGTTTGTTTAAATCTGTGACGGAAGACCCATAGGATCCATAGCCCGAGGCTGGTAACCGTTCACTGAGTAACGGTTAGGTCGCAAGTCCCTCGGTTAATTGAACGCTATTGAAGGCCTTGTGCTGGGAGTGAAATTCAAATGATCTACCGCCTGTTTCAACCAGTAACTGCCGCTTTCTGACTATGAGAGCCAGATGCTGACAACAATATTCAGGAAATGTTCTTATTTTATTCATCCGACTCAGACTACCAAGTAACCTTTCTTGTGAGGACATCCTATATCTCCATGTCAGGAATCACCAAGATTAAGGCTATGTCCCCAAACAGACTGAATTTCTCTTATTAGCCTATTATAAATCTTTCACTCTTGAATTGAAGTCCAGTTTTGACTCAGAATGAGATTTAATGTTAGCATTTCGAATCCTTTGAATGCCATGTCTGTGTTTTTTTTTTTCTCGTTTTTTTTTCTTCTTTCAGTTGCTGTGGTTATAGTCCAGGGATTAGGACGTGAGCAGAAAGCACCCACCAGTCCAGCGTAGTTTCTGTCCCAACAAAAGACTGCGGAGGGGGCTTGTCCTCCACGCTGCTGACAGCTACCGCGTGTCCTTCCATATATTGGAGGACACTTAAGGACCCCCTGTCTAAAAAGGACCTTCTCTGGATGCCCTCCAACAACCTCTTTCTACATAGGCATGACCCACCTTTCCAAGCTTCTTTTGTTCCCTAATTTCACCATCATGGGATTGTGTGAAAAGGGCTTTTTTTTTTCTTTTCCTGGACCTTACGTGTTTTTATAGACTTTCATCTCCTCTCAGATAGTTACCTTTTATGGGCATTCAATCCTTTTTTTTTTTTTTTTTTTAACTCTTAACCTTTTAATCTTATCGTTTCATCATTTTAGCTCTTTTTTTTAGCTGTTCTTTTTCTTGCAATACAGTGACCAGCGCCACACACTGAACTCCAAGAAGGGATTTCTGAGGTTTTGTTGAAGCAGACGTTTTGTCTTTATTTACTGACATTTTGGACTTTACATGATCTGATGATATCTTGACGGAATAATCTATAGAGACGTCTAGATTTCTTTCCTCAGTTGCAACTGGCAGTTCGGAGTTCATTATCTTAGAGGTGTCGTCAGAACTCTCTCCCGCCATGTGAGTCGTCTCACACTTGTCCGTGTGGCAGGCCACCTGCCCTTCCTGGCCTCCGCACACAGCTTTACAAATGTTCCAGCAGAGCTCCCTGTTGACTTGCTATTTCACATGTGGAAAGCGGAGTATAATTTGTGTACCCAAAAATGTCTCACAGTATCCCCTTTTCTTAATGTTTTGTGATATGTTAAGTAACGCAGATCCCCTGGGGATACTGTTAACAGTATCCAACCCAAAGAAACCCCATTATTCCTCTTCTTTGTTTTTGACATCTAAGCCAGTTTCCCATCCAAGATTTTTTAAAAAATCACTCAAGTCATCTAGCAATGACTTAGTAAATAGGCTTTATCAGGGAAGTTGAGATTGTTGTGACTTTTCTCACCACCACTGTGACCTCCCAAATCTAAACCAGCCAACACCCTGGCAGCAGCCTCCCTGCCTCCACTCCTGCCCCCTTAGTCTATCCCCCACCCAGCAGCCAGAGAGCCTTTTAAATTCTCAATCAGAGCACATCGCTTCTCCAGGCGCAATACTTTGAAATGACATAAAATCACACTTAGCATAAAATCTAAGCTCCTGCCCTAACAGGTTTGGCTCAATGGATAGAGCGTCGGCCTGCAGACTCAAGGGTCCCAGCTTTGATTCCGGTCAAGGGCATGTACCTTGGTTGCAGGCACATACCCAGTGGGGGGGGTGCAGTAGGCAGCTGATTGATGTTTTTCTCTCATGGATGTTTCTAACTTTCTATCCCTCTCCCTTCCTCTCTGTAATATATATATATAATCTAAGCTCCTTAAAGACCCTATGTGTTTTGCTTCCACTCTCTTTCTTGTTTAATCTGTCTGCTCCAACCTCACTTATTGGTCTTTTTGCTGTTTCTTAAACACTACAACTCTGTTCCTACCTCAAGGCCTTTGGTTAGCCATGATGTAGGAACTCCTCCTCTTCTCCTAAGTATCTGGATGATTTCATTTCATGCAGGTATATTCCCAAATATCTTCACCTTGCGGAGGCCCTTCATGACCACCCATCTTCAACAGGGGGCTCCCCCACCCTGTTTTTCCTTAAAGCACTGCCACTGCCTGCTATATTACATACTTGTGTGTTGTCCATCTCCATCCTCTAGAATGTGAACTCACTAATGCAGGGATTGTGTCTGTTTTGTTCTCTGCTATAACCTCAATACCTAGAATAGTGCTTGACATATAGTAGATGCTTAATATTTATTGAGTGAGATAATGGAGAGTATAAATTATTGTTATATTTTGGTTTTATGTTGTTTGTGCTCGTTTTTTTTTTTTGTTGGAAAGGATTACAGAAAATGTTTTCTAACTCTCCAGTAGGATGTGTCCACTTGACCAAAGATTCTATAAGCTTGTCTATACTCTTGGTTGAAGAATAGTCTTCCTCTTTTGGGAAAGATTGTCCTCTTCAAACCCCTTTGTAGCTTTAGAGGAATGAACCTGTACCTGGAATGATGAGGGAAAGAAGCCACCACCTGGCCAGGAGATCAATGCAGTCAACCCTCTTCATCACAGGGTGTTAGGTGTGGCAACCAGATCACCCTCATACCAAACTCTGCCCCACTAGCAGTAAACTTCCCAGGTGGTGCTTGAAACATTTTTGATGGAGACTCTAGTGTCAGGTGTTTGCTGGAACACTGGACAAGTGATTCTCAGACTTCAATATGTATGTCAGTCACTTGGAGCTCATGTTAAAAGCCTAGATTCTGACTCAGTGGGTTTTGGGTGGAACCTAAAATTTTGCATTTCTAACAAGCTCCCAGGTGACAATGACCTGCTGCTCTGTGGACCTCACTTTGTAGATCATTTGTTACTAGAACAGTCTGGCCTGTAATTCTTGAATTTATCTCAAGGGTTTCATTATTTTGAAAATTTAAATCGAAGACTCTCAATGTGATCTGCCTGCAAATTTTTACTTTCCCTCCCTTAATTTCACATTCAGTCAAAGGAGAGTAAAGCAACTTAGTTTAGGGCAAAGCAGAGTAAAAAGGATAAGCTGTGTGTGGGTTAAACTGAACTCAAAAGAAGTGGGTATATGCCAATTCTTAGAGAAAATTCTATGGAAGAGATCAGTTCTAAGACCTTCAGAAAAGAAAGAAAGGCCTGAAGAACAGTAGAGAGGAAATTTCAGAGCATGAGCTCCATGGGGAAGATAGAATAGAGAAAAAAGCCTTTGGACTTGTTACTAATAATTACTTAGCTACCGGCAGACTCTAACCTCAGGAAGGAGTGGAGTGAATCTTGTGATGAGAGGGAAGGATTAAGACAGTGGAGCAAGAAGCAGCTCTCACAAAGCACTGCAGAATGTTGGACAGCTCAAGTGATGAGTCAAGCTGGGATCTAAGAGAAGGGAGCTTTTTTGAAAGTTAAGCAAACACTAGGAAGAGCCAAATGAGAGAGATTGCTTGTATGATAGAAGATAAAGAGATAAGAAGAAGGAGGAGGAGGAGGAGGAGGAGGAGGAGGAGGAGGAGGAAGAGGAGAAGGAGGAGGAGGAGGAGGAGGAGGAGGAGGAGGAGGAGGAGGAGGAGGAGAAGAAGAAGAAGAAGAAGAAGAAGAAGAAGAAGAAGAAGAAGAAGAAGAAGAAGAAGAAGAAGAAGAAGAAGAAGAAGAAGAAGAAGTGGAGGAAGAAGAGGAAGAGGAGACTGAAGTAGCAAGAAGTTATTGGAGTAAAGAGAGGAAGGAGAGAGGGGTTAGACTTGGGAATGAGAGTGAGTGGAGGGAAGATTTATAATTGTTTTTCTTGCCCTAGCTGTTTTGGCTCAGGGACTAGAGCATCGGTCTGTGGACTGAAGGGTCATGGGTTCAGTTCCGGTCAGGGACACATGCCTGGGTTGTGGGCTTGATCCCCAGTAGGGGGTGGGCAGGAGGCAGCTAATCAGTGGCTCTCTCTCATCATGGATGTTTCTATCTCTCTCTCTCCCTCTCTTTCCTCTCTGAGATCAATAAAAATATATATGTATATATTTTTAATTTTCTTTCTTATGAATTTATTCTAAGAAAATAAATCAAAAGTAGGGCAGGTGAAGCTCTGTATAAAGATGTTCCTTGCCTTGTAACCAATAATAAATAGGAGGAAACTGAAAGGAATATAAAAGTTTAAACATGAGGCAATAGTTTCACAAATTATGCTTTGTGGTTTGTAATCTTGAACCATGCTATGCAATTAAAATATGTAAATTTGAATGCTACATAGCACATCAAAAATGTTTA